TCACACCAGCATGACTGGCAGGTCATGGGGCATCTGTGTAAGTATGGCATTACACAGAGAAATGCAAACTGACAAATTGGGCAATGCAAACACTGGATAAGTCCTTGTGGCCATATAAATCCATTAAAATTAGGTAACAAGAAGTTCATTTGGGAAGACCTGAGTAGAGAGGTAGCTGGATCTTTAATGGCATTACTGTAAAGGCTAGCCTAGGAAAACAGATACCAAGGTCATAGTACCCAGTCATAGTAACCAAACAGGCAAGAACCTCTGGATTGGAAGACTCAGAGATACCACTAACCAGGCCATCAGAACGAACTAGAGAAAAAGGATATTAGGCTGACCTGATATACTGATAGACTGGTTGTAGTCCTACATGGACTATCTGGATTGGGAGTTTGGTAAAAAGGCTGAACAAAAGGCAGAGGTATACTAAAGTACTAGAATTATGCTGTAAAGTAGATGCTAGGGTCTAAGTGAACTCTACAAGAGCATAGTAGTTTAATGGTTAGCCCTGACTGCAAGTGTTAGTTCTGCTATAGTAATACCTAGGTTAGCTGTAAAAATAAGTACAGAAGGCTCTGAAGGGTTTACCTTAAGGATAAATTAGTTCTAAGGTTGAGAATGATGATCTGGTATATCTGAAATAATCAGTGATATTAATACAGGTTACAGATTCAGAGGGTTTAAAGTAGAACATTCAAGCAGAGGTATTAGGTACACCAATTGGTAGGAAACCTTCAGGCAGACTTCTTAAATAGGTAATATAAAAAAGTTACACGTGTAGCCAATTGTATGCTCTCCTGTAGTGGTTTATTGAACCACAATACTGATAAGTGATTAATAAAAATCAAAAGACCAAAGAGGTCATCTTAATACCAAAAAAAAAAAAAAAAAATTTAAATTATGGTTTAGGTTACAAATAAACTAGTCTAAGCTCTCATTCTTATATGTAATTTTTATTTTGTTACAAATAACCTTAGTTTATTTTAGTACTTCTGTACTAAAATATACAGTTAAAATTATTAATAAAGATATGATCAAGGCCTCACCTTAACATCAAAAAAAAACAAATTTAAATTATTAATTTTTGAGAAATTATAAAAAGACTATAAATAGTTTAATTTTAAAATTTGTATCTGGACCTAAGAACTAAAAAATTATAAAATTTAAGATTTAAGACACTTAAGATCTAGACCCGAAACATCACCTAAGCCTAAAAACTAGAAAACTATAAATTATAAATATATTACATATTTTTAAATATATATTAAATTTATTTAAAAATTAAATACAGAATCTGAGATCTAAAATACATAGAACCTAGCCCCGGAGCATCGCCCGGGCCTGAGAGCTAGTAATTATTTTATAATAGTTTTAAAAAGTTGCTAATTTGCATGTTTCTGTAAAGTAGTACGTATATATATACACTAGTGCATATTTGGAAATTTTTTAAAATTTTTTTTAAGTTTAAAAACTTAAACTACTGTAAATACAATACGTAGTATTTGAACATTTTATATTTACATACCTTAATTTAGTTTCCGTGCAATATTGTATATGAAATATGGTAGTTGAAACGGAGTTGAGACAAATTTGAAACAAAATTGAGGTTTAAAAAAAACTCAAATTTTATTAAGATAACTTTTATTACAAATCTTAAAAAACGGGCAAAATTTAAATTTACATACGTATACGTACGTATGTATTCTATTTTTTTTAAGCCAAAGAATGAACGTTCCGAAACAGGAAGAGATGTAATAATGGCAAAAAAAGCTCGGGACAGTTAAAATATGTATATATTATTGTCCACAATAAACAGAAATTGGATGTGGATCCTTGTTCACATTTAATTTTTGATTATTATCCGTTTACACGGATAATAACTGTTTTATTCCCAGGTTCTTATTATACTTTTATACTATTTTTTCGAATTAAAGTTACGCAATTCATAAAGTTTAGCTTTACAACAATCACAAAACTTCTTTCATTTTCTTCCATTTCCTTTTTGTTCAAAGACTTAACTTTTCGTAAATTTAATAATTTAAAAAGTAAAAAAAAAAAGATATATAATCAAAAAGAAATATAAAAACTTTCGAATCAGAATAAGCGAGAAAAAATAGTATAAAAGTATTTATAAGAACCGGTGAATAAACGTAGTAGCGATACTGATACTGCACCGAGTATACTGTATAACAGTTAGATAATATGTTGATATATTTTCTCGAATTCGCGACAATATAATTAAAACTTTCTTAATAATACATTGATTCAGAAGATTTTAAAATATACCCGGTATAAATTAAAGGGGTATAAATCAGGGGTACTTTGCATTGCATGGTAACTATACGTATGTTTAAATAAATCCTAATTGCTAATAGTTCAATGTAATACTTATGTATACGTAAGAAATTTCTCGAACTAATAAAGTAATTTCTCACACTGAGAATTTTTTCTTGACCCAATAAAGCATTTTTTTCACTATCGCTACGTATGAGAATTTTTAAGGAGACTCTTGACTAATTAAAGTATTATATTCACTTACTATGAGAATTGTTTAAACCAATTAAAGAGATTATCATATAGAGATACGTAATCGTGGGCGAATAAATAAACTAAATTTGTAAATGTACGTACGTACAATAATTAATTATTATTATACACAATTTATAATTAAAAAACATCGAGACGAAAAGACGCAAATACCATATGTAGTTTTTTTTTTTGAACATAATTATTCCATGATTTCTGATTTTCGATTCCCGAAAATCACTAAATAACAGTCAACAAATTGGCATAAAATAATTCAGGAAGGTTTACCGGGTTTTATCTTTAGAATAATAAGTCAATAGAGAATGAGACTTTGGGCTTTCAAGTTTATTAATTGTTATTTGCCAGATTTAGGCATGAAAATTCGAACGAAAATTCGAACGATTACATATGTATTTCCAAAGTCATTGCAACACTAATTTAGTTACGTATGTGTCGTAAATAATAAATAATAAACTGAAAGCCTAAAGACCCATTTTCCATTATCGTTATTATATATCGATAACATTACGTATTATGTAATTAATTTATTTTATTGTATTTTTTTTTTTTTCTTTTAAAAAAAGCTTTTAAATTAAAATTAAATTATATTCTAAATTTATAATCTAATAGTACTTAGTCTAATAGATCTAAGATTTAAATTGCGAAATTAAAAGAATGATATCAAGAAAATTAAAAGAAACCACCTTTTCTATAATTTCCTGATCGTTGACTATATTGAGAATCACCATCATGAGATGAACCATGAGTTGAACCATGAGTTGAACCATGAGATGAACCATGAGGTGAACCATGAGATGAACCATGAGATGAATTATGAGATGAATTATGAGATGAAGATAAAAAATTATTATGATTTGGACTAGCACTTCTTGCCCTATTAGTATTTGGATAAGGCCTATCACCACTCACTCTTTGATAGCCTGGAAGTTGGAGAGTATTACTAAACTTATCATTAAACCTATCAGAATCAAAATTGTTCGGTAAGGATGAAGGAGTAAATTTTTTTTGATCATTATGAACAGCAAGTCTATCAGATGGACTATGGTCACGATTCCTATCAATTATAATTGGTGTTACTAGTTTCCTGCCTCTATTATTATCATCATCATCCGAACTAGGAATATCTTTAGAATCATATAACCAATCAGGAATATCATCAGATTTTTGATGATGATATTCACGTAATATACGAGAAATGTGAGTTTCACCTTCCCATTCATCCCTCTCAGATTCTAGTATCATTTAACAAATATAAGAGTTAAAATTTGTATAATTGAAATTATAATTATTTTTAAGGATACATACCGTTTTCTGAATCATCATCATAATTAGAATTGTAAGCAGCGGCAGCATTTAACAATTTATCCCATAGTTTAGAACCTTGCGAAGGATGTGTTATAGTTGGAGCGACAGTATCGTCTAAAATATACAGATATATATAATATGTATATATATGTGTGTGTTATATAAACGAAATCTTTTTTTAAAAAAAAAGGATTTTATTTTTTATCGTCATAGTGATGTATCGCTACCTTCTGAAATTTAGTTGTCACGTCAGGTGATGTCGGGTTTAAATATCGCTCCGCTTTTAATTAGTATTAATCAAAAGCGGAGTTTGAATATTGGAATTCCGACATCACACGACGTGACAACTAACTTTCAGAGGGATAGCCATAGCGATAAATTACAAAGCCCTAAAAAAAATATATAAGAGAATTCTAAAAGGATAAATTCACCTTCAGATACGTTTTTCCAGTTATTTACAGATCTAAGTTTACCCCACAATCCAGAAGCATTAGTATCATTGTTATTTTTATTTTTAGTTGAAAGATGTTGTTTTGGAATAGGATTCGAGAAGGAACCGGATTGAGGCAACTCACATTTGTGACGAGCAGGATAAAGACCAACATCATGGCCACAATCTTTACAAAGAACCACGATTCGAGAAACTCGGTAATCTATGACCTCAGCCATTTGAATTAGTTATTAAAAGAGAGTAAAAGAGTAAAAGGTTTAAAAGGAAAAGTATTTAGTCAAAATTTTTAAGAAAAAGAGGACATCAACAACATATATATAATATATATACGTATAATGAAACAGAAAAGTATATCGTTTATCGATATGCATACTATTTTGAGTATTTAACCAGTTAAATTCACATGCTTATTTTTAGATCGACTGCAGCGATTAGTCATAACGAGGTACTAATTTAAATATATACATGATGTTAATGATATGATACATAAAAATAATATTTTTACCCGGATAAAAGATGAAATTACTATGTCACATGGTTCAAAACATTTTATGCGGTTTTAAACAAAAAAATAAGTAATTCTTTGTACGTACTTAATTAGTTACAAACATCATTTATCTTGTACGTATGGTACATACTTATGTATTTAATTGAGAATTTTAATAATTAAAACCAGTTTTTTTACATAAATGTTGTTCATAATAAACGTGTAGAATTACTACGCACTATATATATATGGATTAAGGATTAATAGATAATTAATTATACAGAATGAATTTATAAAAATACCAAAAAAAAAAATTAAAAATTATAACTGCAAGAATTAAACAAATAAGGCCATGCAAAATATTAATTAATTGGTTTTCATAACCTGGCCGGGTCAAAATTCGAAACCTTGTAAAAAATTTTAATAACGGGCCGGGTTTTACAAAAATTTTATAAAATTTATATATATGAATTTAAAAAAAAAACCGCCGGCTGGCCGGGTCTGTTTAAAAATTTCATGTTATGAAAACCAAAAGAAATTAAATTAGTGTGGCCTAATGCTAGATTAAACCGGTTTTTAAAAATCTTCTCGTTCTGGTTTTTCGTCTTTACATCTTTTCATGTAAAATATTCGAACCTATTTTAGGAAAAAAAAATTAATAAATAGATAAAAACATTTCATTACAATATATATATATATTTAAATTAATTACAGAATAAGTGTCAATGTTTACATTCACATATTCATTACTCATACACCAATTATATTATAAATGTAATGAATATATGGATACAAGCACTAAAACAACTATTCATTTTTTCAAATACCTCTCTGCATAATTTAACATGTAAGAGAAGATGTCCAAATGTTATTGCCGTGCTAACAATAGACAGTCCAGCGGCCACATAACAATTCATAGAAAAACTATCGATTATTGCAATAATACCACCACCACCACCGAAAAACCAACCTACGCATATGAATATCTCAAATATGATATCGATTAACGTAGTAAAAAAGAAGTGATGAAATGCTTTATTATTTTCATCTCTAAAAAAAAAGTATTAGAATTTAATATTATGAGATAAATAATATTACTGTCGATATATATTCTTTAAATGCATAAAAAATTAACAAAATGTTTCTTATGACTTAAATGCATATACTATCTATATGCATAAAAAAAAGTCACTGACGGATGGCATGCAATTAGATAGTATCGACTTTATTTACTACTTACTTGAATCCATGGTATAAACTCATATGCCTAAAAGAGAAATCTACAATTGGCCATATCACTAGATATAACGAGGCAATTATGATTTGGACAAATCCTACCGAAATTTCATAGCGAGTCACGGCAAGTGCAATGATTGCACCAAGATTGAAAAGTAATGCAATGTAATAGACTAATATATACATATTAAAAATGTTGATGTTTAGTATTAAGTTAAAGTTGTTTGAATAAATATATTTAACGCGTACTTAAAGATATTCGATAAGAACTTTCAATCATTTGGCGTGCTCTTTTCTCGATAATATCATTTTGAACATCGTAACGAATTATAGGACAACATGATGGCCTAAAAAAAGTGTTAAAGTTAATACATAATCACGTGCCTGCTATGCACCGACCATTCATCCTTCATTTACGAACCAGTTATTATTTGCTGATACTTCTTGCATTTTCTTTTTAAAACAATCGGTTTATATGAGTAATTCGTGATATGATTTTTTTTCGAGCGTTTTTTTAATGAAAAAAAATTTTGATTTTTTGAATTTCAACTCCTTTTTCTATTTATCGAGTCTCCTAATTCTTATTTATTTTTGTTTCCTAGTAACATCAGTGGTTATTTTGTAAACAATGGCGCATGTATATACCGTACAACCACATTAACTGCAAGAACAAATAATTTATATTATCTATATGCAGTTTAATGTCGACTATCGTACATATGTGTCAATAACCGAATGCACGTTAATTACATTATCTCCTTGTTTAGGGTGCAACTACTTAAGGCAATTTAGGCTGACGCTTACTTTGTCGTTAACGCAATATTTGAATGTGAATCACCTGATCTAACGTTTTAACTTTATATATTGTCGTAATGTACGTGCTTTCCTAAACATAATGTAATATTATTAGCCAACATTGATTTAGAACGAATCTAAACTTATTAGAATATATATTTTTAACTACGTATCCGTATTTTACGATTTTATTGTACGTACCTAATTAATTATTATGCGTATGTTTATCTTTTAATAATGTACATATATTGACATTTGTATAATTTTCTTCAGTTATGAATAAACAAATTTGTTATTTACCTTAATTAATAAATGCATAAACTTTTAGTATTAAATAATCTCAATAATAAAAATAATAAATCAACTTATATAATATTTTTGATCTAAAATATCGATATGCACGTATGTAGATACATTTGATTGTATATTTGTTATCTATTTTTAATGATTCTTGGTATATTTTAATTGGTTTATAATAAATTAATACGTAACAATATTGGTAAATTAAATGGTTTTTTTGTAAAACGAGACTCTTTATTATCAATTATTAAGTCCTTTTTATTTTTACGTATAAAATTGTCTTTTTTTTATTTATTCTAAAAAGAATAATCTTATTAATACTCATCATATATATATACCTATAATATATGAAAGGGTGTCAGTAGAAACCAAGCAATTATTTTTAAGTAGATTTTTAAAACTTTGAATTAAAAAAATTTCAACAACTATTAAATCAAATTTGATAATTTTTTTATTTAATTTTAGAATTTAACTAATTTTATTCTCTAGTAGGAGTTGGGTTCTATAGCTTTGTTGTTAAGCTTCCATCTTTTTATAGACAAGGTCAATAGTTTAAGTTTAGTTGAAGGTAAAATACTCTATAACCAAAATAGAGCTTATAATCAGATGCGAAGCTCTGTAGAAGTCCAAATGAAGATACATATTTGATCTAAAGAATTTTTAAAAGAAAACTAATATGACAAAGTATAAACATTACTATAGTAAAAAATGTAAAAAATGTTAATATTTGTAAAAAAGATTGATCTTACCTAATATAGAATCATCTTTGACATCATAAATCTAAATAAAGGTAGTTATAAGATCCACTTTCATTTAGTAAAGTTTATATTAAGGGTAAATTAACCTTAAGGTCTATTATTAAAATTTAAGTTGGTACTACAGAAAAAATATTAAAAACTAATTAGTAAGTAATCTGCAAGTGAAATCTTTAAATAAATTATAATTAAAGTTGTATAAGTGATTAATTATAATTTTATTAATATACAAAATATAATATTTCTTTATATAATTGTAAGTTATAAGTCTTAATAAAAATTATAAATTATAGATATTATTCTTTAAACCTAAAATAAATTTAACCTCTAGTTAAATTTATAAATTTTAATTATTTTTTGTTTTTATATAAATTTTTTATATAAATAAATTAGATTTTAAAAATTAGAGTTAAAATACTAATTATATTAAATTAGTATAAGTCATATTATTATTTTTAATACATCATAAAATAAATTAAAAAGTTTATTAATAATATTAAATTTAATGACTGTTATTTTAAACTATACTTTTAGTATTATATATATTATATTAAGATTTAAAAATAAATTTATTATATTTTAATTAAATATTTTTTTATTAATTTATAAATTTATAAAAAAGGCAATTTCTATTTGAACACTAGGATATAAAACACAGGTATATTTATATCTCAAAAATTATAATAATAAAACAACTTTTAGAATCCTAATAAAAAATATATTTCATAAAATTTTAGTATAATCTATGACCTTTCTAGCCCTAAAGCTAACCTTATTCTAATTTTAAATTGGATTTAATTTTTTGGTTTATAATTTTATCTTACAAGAATTTGTTAAATAATTAATTAATACCAATGTATATAACATCCTGTGTACAATTAGAAATTTTTTATAAAAAATATTTAAATTATATAGTTTTTAATTTATACCTTTTTTTTATTATATAAATTATATTTTATCTATTAAGTAAAAATGTTCTTTAAAGAATGCAAATCATTAATTCTTTCTGATAATCACTTGTACCAAATTTTGCTGCAAATAATTGATTATTATTCAATATTTTATTAAGTAAACTACCTTTGGATATCTAAATAAAGTTGTTCTTGATATAATTTTATACTTAGATAGCCTAGTTATATATCTTTAGACCTCTTATTCATTGAGATATTTTTATTAAATAAAAAACAAGTTTATTCAAGTTATTTTAATATTTTACTAATTAAACAACTCTTGTATCTTAAAACAAAAAAAAAGAACTTATTTACAGTTTTATTTTGATATAAAATTTATCAAAATGGCCTAAAATTTATTAACATATTAGTAAAATATGCTTAAATTCTTTTACAAAATTTTTTTTATTTCTTGCAAATTTTTTTTTATATTTTTTGAGAGACTGCCTCTAGTTGACCTTATCCAAATCTGCCCAAAACAAGATTATTAATCAATATTACACAATTTATTAATTACAAATTTGTATTTTTATAATTTTATATAACTTTTTTGTTTAATGTCAATCTTGATTTACAAATATATCTGCAAAGTGTCACATACTTATTGTGATATCTTTCTATTTATCATACTCTGTATTTGTTACATCTTTCTAATTGTTATATCCTTTATTTATCATATTTTTATTTGTCACTCCTTCTTATTTGTCACATACTATATCATTGACATCTTATTAGATTCAAGAATCCCAATATCAAATCTGTTTTTATTTTCAAAACAACTATGCTTATATTAATTAATCAAGATTCAAATTAATATGATTTAGATTAATTTTTAGCTAAATATAATGATTGCTTTAGTGTTATGACTAAAGAAAATAATTTACAACAAATTAAACATATTCAATTTGTTGTGCATCTAACTGAATATAATAAAAAAAACAAGATTCATGATTTCAAAGCACCTCATCAACCTACTGTTATCCAATGTCTTTGCAAAACTTATTATATTCTGTTTACATCTTATTATTACTAATTTTCCTCAAGATCTGCAACATCTTCTCTAACTTCTGGTTCTGTTACTCCTATAGATATAACTCCAAACCAATTCAAAAAAACCAAAGATACTATCTCTCAATCTTCTGTGAACAAAATTCTTCTATTCTCATTCAACTATAACAACTCATCTGTTGTTATTTCTTTAACTGTTACAAACTTTGCACCTAATATTATAACTATTAAAGCTTATATACAATATACTTATATTTGTATTATTTGTCATAAATTAAATATTCTATGTGTTTTTCTAACTCATGACAAACACTTTCTCAATACTACTGCTAAAATCTTATATAGATATTCTACTCATTCTAGCTATATTTCTAATCTCAAGTTAAAACTATTAATTCAAACTAAATCTCTCAACTAATAACAATGATCAGTTTTCTTTACTACTAAATTTGCTCTTATCAAAAAAGAACAAAAATTCAAATCTTTAAAAAATTTCTTCAACTTCTTAAGAAAAAATGATTTATTTAATAAAAAATAAAAATTTCATAACAAACAAAAGAAACCCTTTTTGACTGGATCCAAAAATATTCAATTACAACTGAAATAAAACTATTTACTAACTTTAATACACCATTATCTTAACAAATCTTTGATTTTCTTAAACCTCATCTTATCAATTTTGTACTAAGAAAAATTATTAAATCTGTAACTAAACTTGAATAAGCATTTAAATAGAGTTTTAAATATTTTATTAAAACCCTTGCTAATGCACAATCTAAGTTTCTTACAGATATTATCTATTAACATAACTCTACTATTGATAATACAATCATCATATTCTTTAACATCTTACACTTAACTCTTAAAATGCTTCTTTATAAATTTATTATAACTCTTTTTATCAAACTTAACTACTCTAAAATACTTTTTTTATACAAATCAACTTCTCCTTATACTTTACAAAATCATTTTCAAGTAGCAATTAATTTGGAAAGAATTTATCTTTATCTACAAAATAAATATTAAACAATCGACCTTGCTAAGTTTTTTAAAACAGTTAACATTTTATCAATACACTTTTTACTTTACTATTTTATTAGTAAAGATGCCATTAATCAATCTTTGTTCAAAATACAAAATAATGAAAAATACAATATCAATATTTCACTTAATATTTCCAAACAAGAATTTCAACAAACCTTTCATATTCCTTCTTTTAAAAAATACAGACCTGATCTTGAATCATGGTTTAAAGTCTTCTTTGCTAATTACAAAAAACAATTCATCAACATTAATGAAACCAAAACCTTTAATTATATTAAATATGAAATTATTACTAAATTTGTAGAATCATGCAAGAGATTACTTTTTTCAGATTTCAAAATAACTTCAATTGATTTTCTCAGAGAATGATTATTACTTTGTACTAAAGCTGCTCTATTTCACATTCATATCTGTTCACATAACAAAGATAATCTATACACTATTCTTCCTCTTGATACTGAATATAATTTTAAAAACTTATCTATCAATTTCTTTGATATATCATTTGAAAAATTCTCTGTCACTCCATCAAATAATAATTCAGTTAAATAGACTCAATCAGATCTTGATTTTTCTATCTTTGCAAAAGACCAAAAAT